CCGAATTGTTATAACAAAGTGTTCTTGTGTTGAGGGAGTACTTGTGGATGGGCCCACTGCCCATCTGTTTTCTTAATACTCAACCTATAGATATATAAATATATTGTACATGGATCTATTTCCCCCTCATCGTATATAAATATATTTACATCTTTATATGCCTGTATTTAAATATCTATGACTACCCTTGCCTCCTAGTTCTTTCCTCTATTTCTTTGTACTTTCCTCTTGTCCCACTATCATGTTCTGCCTTCATTTGGGTTTTAGGAATTCCTCTCGGTTACATTGCCCTTGATCCAGTCCTGCCAGCTGGTCTTTTTTATTATTTTGAATTTTCTTCCACCTTTTCTCCCACTTTATTCGGGACCTTCTAATATCCTTTTAGGAGCAGTCGATAGTGGTAGCCATTTACCATCTAGTTCTGGTCACGGAGGCTGATGTTCACATGTCCATCTAGCCATTGGACTAATTATTTCCATATGGCTTTGATTTTCTTCATCCTTCCCTTGTGAAGAGAGACCAATCTTTGCTCCTTAGTCACACAAGCATTTCAGGCCCCACTCACCAATCACTGAAGTAATATAAAGAACATTGTCCTTGTGGGCTGTGCAATTCCACTTGACTCTGGTGTCATCCAAGGTGATGATCCTAAGCTCCCAGGCCCAGCAACTTATTCCCTCGAGGTGTTTGGTTATGACTAAGAAGTTTTTATAACTTTGCCCTTTTATGCTCCACCACATTCAAGGATATATTTGCAACAAAATTAATATCCTATCTATCCATGCGTCTACTCATAGATCATCTTTTTGGCAAAATAGTATATACAATAGTATTTACCTCTCGTTTTTAACTCTTACACTGCTCTCAATGTCTTCCTACTCCATCAACAATTTTTGCTGACCTCTGTCTTATTGCATATTGCTTTCTCGTTCACCCAAGTTGACAATGTGTTTCTTCTCTAGTTAGTAATTGATCCTCCTTTCCCTTCTAAAAACTCAAGCCAAAACCACTGAAATAAAGTTGATTTCAACTCATAGCAGCCTATGTAGGGTTTCTGTAAATCTTTATGGGAGTAGATAGCCTCATCTTTCTCCTGCAGAGCAGCTGGTAGGTTTGAACAAGCAGCCTTGAGATTATCAACTCAATGTCTAACCCACAGCACCAGCAGTGAAACCATCAAATTGTGTTTCTCTTTGCATGAAAACCAGTGGTCTCATGCAGTATTTGTCCTTTTGTGATTGACTAATTTCACTCAATTAAAAAAATCTGTTTTGCAGATGTTGTTACCGTGTATACTCGATTATAAGCTAACCCAAATATCAGCCGAGGCACCTCATTTTACCACAAAAACTGCATTAAATATCTGCTGGAAAAAATCTGCTTATACATGAGTATGATGTTTGGGCTGGGGCCGGACTAGGCAGCCCCCATCTCTCCGGCTCCTCAGGAAGATAGAACTTCAAGGCCCCCATTTCCAGCCTCTCAGAAATATAAATGACCTATTGAAGTGTGCATATTCTGCCCCAACATTCCAAGGACCTTATCTCTCCAGACCAAGGTTGTGCAGCCCCTGTCCCAGCACTCCAGGGAGTAGGTTGGCAAACAACAAAGGCACTTCCCACGAATCGCATCCTGACTCAAGGTCTTGCAGCTGCAAGCAAAAATATCTCC